TTAATACCCTTTGCTGGCACTCAGTTTATACATATGAGAAAAAGAAATATGATGGTATAATATTATGTAGAACAAATAGAATAAGTGTATTTACAAAATTCGTCACATAGATCAATTGAAAATTGTAAACAAGTGTGCCCTTTGCAGGTAAAAGTTTCTATCACTAGTATAAGTCGCACTTACCTGTACAAACGTTCGGTCATTTCGTATAGCTTCTAGGCGGAACTGGAACTGGAATTGTAATCTCTGGACTTATGTTAGCGGGCAGCTCAAAGTATCTATCGATGCCCGTGCTTGGCACCTGCTGGACACGCGTCTGATGTATTTCTCTGGAATTCGAAAGCACAAATAGAAAATCCCCAATAATTGAATTATATTTATATGCATGTGGAATTATGCGTTCCATTTGTGCTCTGGTGCCGGTGCCGGCTCTGATTCTAATTTAAATCAAAGCAAATGCAAAGCATTTCATCTAATTCATTAATTCTCTGCGACTTCAAAGATCAATAAAAGAGTTAACACGATACGATTTGCATAGGCACATCAATTAAGACTTGTCAGATTGATCGAGTGAGAGAGTGGACATGACTAGCATATACCCTGGTAATGATTGCTGGACTGAGAGAGTTTGATTGATCCGAAAATAGTTTGGGAATGAAGAGGGGAGACCTTTGCTTTGATATTTTTATATTTTTATATAAAAACGTAATATTCTATGGTATTCTATGGTATGATAAACATTGCTGAGTCAGTAAGAAGAATACTTTTATAGAATCCATATTATTAGCCTATTATATCAATAAGAATCCAATTAGCTTTTTCTTGGATTTGATATATGTATGTATGACTTCCCTTAATTCTAGCTCAATCAGATTCAATATTTTAACAGAGTATTTCTGATTGAATAAATTCTACCAGTCCGAAATCCATATAAGGAAACTGGATGTATGCAATAAAACTGTTGAAATGAAACAATTTGCTCAAGCACATCAATAATAAATAAGATTATTATAATACAAATAAATGAAAATCAATAAAGAAAAAATCAATAAAAACATGAAATACGCCCAACTAAAAGGGAATAAATAACCTGCTTTACGGTGTTAATTAAATAGTCAATGTCAACATGAGAACGGTGAGAAACAAGGAGAGAGAGAGGGAGAGAGAGTGAAGGAGGGAGCGAAAGAGAAAGAGAGAGAGAAAGGGTAAGTGCAAAGAATATGTAAAGATAAAGAGAGCGAGCTTGCAGCGCATTTTACTTATTTTTTTTTCAATTGTACGAAAGTAAAGTTTAGTATGACAGTTTGCAAGACAGTTAACTGTATATGAATACAGTTACAGCTACACAGTGTGACGAGATTAATTTGTAATTGAAATTTAAATAGAATACAAGTTAGATTGATTGACTCACTTTAAATGGAATAATTTAATAATTACAGAGTTGAGCGAGAATTGCGTATTCGAAATTGGGCATATACCAACAACTAATACCCTGTAAAATATTTAGCTCTATTATTTGACCAAATAAAGTTTGTGTATAAAGAAATGAAGGGAAAAATATATTTTAGAAATATATTTTTATTATTAGAGATTAATATTCGAAATCGAGACTTGAGAAATTATAGAGATGACTTTGCTGAGGTGTTTTTATTTCCTTCTGACGCAAATCAAACGTTTAATTATTTCTCGAATGCTATAATCTATCGAAACGCACGTGTTTTCGCAGAGCAAGCAATCAAAACGCAATTGAATCACTTTTGTACCACTGTAATTTTATTCATATACTCACGTGTGCAGCGGAAAACCCAGAAATGCAATAAAAAGCCACCCAGCTCGGATTCGTTTAAAACAACTTATAATAATTAAACAAAATCAATATTTGTTTGGAACTTGTTAACTTATTGATGTGAAAGAAATTTTGAAACAAATACAAATAAAATAAAATCTCTCCTTTGTAAAATAAAAATATTATTTTCGAAAAAAAAAAACGAAATGTAGAATAATAAGAAATCTTAAATCGCGTGTTCTTGAAGAAAAGTTTGAATTAAAAAAAAAATAACACTGAGGACGAACAAAATTTTGTGGCTTCTGGGCTTCGGTTCTGCGTGCGCGTATATCTCTCGAGGGCAACTGAGGCGCTTGGAAGAAGCTTTGGCGCCAAGGCGCGAAGCCAGGGGCGATCCGCGATTCACGTGTGTAGATTGGAAGTGGGAAATTAGGGTTGCCAGGTGGGCGTAACGATTAAGTTGACCTTACAATCGAGAGCAAATGGAAAGGAAGCCGCCTCTTACACAGGTTTCCAGTTGCGGAACCGTTTTTTTTTGTGTTCGATTGTAGCGTCCTCTTTATGGTTTTTTTGTTCTTGTGTATTTTGATCTGATATCTGAATTTTTAATGTGCATAGGTAACTGTAGCAAAGTTCCCTTCACTTTCCTGGGCATTTGCGTCACTTACGCGCAGTGAGCTGTGAGCTGTAAGCTGGAAGCTGACCTCTATAATTGTTAATAACAGCATATGCCGCGCTTGATTTGCCTTAATTGCAGGTTGAATTAAAAAACTTAACGGCCAGGTAAGCAGGCTTATATGATGCGAAACTATTCTCACATATACCTACATCCTATATGTATATTATTTATAGATATACGTATGCATTGGGCATACGATGTACGCGTTGCTCTAATATTATATAACCAATTTAAATGCGATTAGAATACGTGTTATTGAACCCCTTAAACGATAGTCAATTATAGCTAATCATCTACCCCCATGCCAAGCCCAAGTATGTCCAACTAGTACGCCAGCTAACTATCTCAGTTGACAACTCTCTTTGGTTCGAGCACAAGTTTCTAGAATAATAGAATTTCTCGCCATTCAAATAGTGGTTTCTAACTGAATGAATAAATACATATGTATATACAGTATATATGAATGTATGTATATATTTATTCATTTTATCAGTCTTTAGGGTCGGCTTGGGCAGTCACTGTTGGCATCCGTTCAACTCGCGATAAAACTCTTTGAAGATCTTCAAAACTAAATACGGAATAATATACATATATTGTTCATGAAATATCAACTATACACGAACAAATTAAAAAGTTATATATGTACATATGCTTATGGTTTTAAATATTTTTGTACGTTTTTAAATTCTTTTAATATAATTTTATATTAAATTTATTGAAGCTTTCATTGGTTTTTATAAATTTCAAATTTCAATTTTAGTCTACTTAATTAATTTATTAGTAAATTAAAAAGTTTTTAAAATTTAAATGTTAAATGTTAAAATTTTTAAAATTTTTAGTAAAAATATTAATATAAAGAAAATATGTGTACATATATATTTAATATCTCTATTATGTTTAACTAACACGCACTTTTTTTAATACTTGCTTGTTAATATATTAAGTTAAAAAGGGCTGATAACAATGATTATTAATTTCTTATTAAATAATAAAAAGATGAAATAATATAGAAAACAATGAAATATATATTTAATATTATATGCATTAATATTTATTTAAATTAAATCATGTTCTTTAACAGAGCCCAAGCAATTTCATAGAGAGGGCATTTCGTTAGTCAGTCTACATTACTTCCTGGAGCAGACAGGCAATTTTAGTGCCTTCCATTGGAATGTTGAGCCAAATGTGACATATTTACAGTTACTTCTTCGATATACATATGCTGGGCAGCTGTGGGCACACGCTCTTTTGCTGATCTCCGCTATCGCACTTTCCAGTTTCCAGTCCTCAAATGAGTGAGTGTGTGTGTGGGTATGTGCATGTGAGTGCGTGTGTGTATGTGTGTGTGTTTCTTCTTGTATTGTATTCGCTGCCTTCCTTGTTGTGTGACTACGTTCAACGACTTCTTCAGCTGGGTATTTTATTTTGATTAGAGATTTCGTTTCGCTTAAGCTTAGTCGCGCTCATCGAGCTCCCCCATCGAAAGGCAAACTAGAAAAGTGTTCAGTGTGCGGTGCTAAATCAAAAGACTTGCTATATAAATACATTTGTTCCATATACATATGTACACATGTACATATAAATCAATGTAAAATATAGTTCAGGGCTTCGGCTAATTAGACCAACGAACGAGCGTCTCGACTTAATGCTCTCTCAGCAGCATGACACAAAGAAACCAATTGAATACAAAACTGCAATAAGCTGATTACTACCAACAACTAATATAACTGACCCAATTTGGGTTCGCCGTGTGGTAAATTAAAAAAAAGGTCTTTTCGTTACCAACCTGAACAGCTGTTGGCCTAGCTGACAGCAAAAAAAAAAAAAAAAAAAAACTAAACCCTTAAGGCTGCCGCCACCTGTGTCTGTCTGATTGTCAGTCTGCTTCGAGTGCTCTCGACTCTGATAAGACTTATGACGTTCCAATTGGATGCTCCAAAAGCTCTTTTCTCACATATAGATTATGCACATGTACTCTTATATGTATAATCTGGCATGCATACAATATAGATCGCTTAATATTATTATATATAGCACATAAAACATTTCAATCATTGAGCTGTGCTCTGGTTCATTTAAATTGAAATTCATTCGATCGCTGGCAGTTGCCAGCTGATATAGACAGATTTTTTTAGGCTGAATTTCCGCATTATCTGAAATTCCTCCTGCGATGAGAACATAACACAATTCAATCTAGCGTTGTCAGTGCAAGTGCAAAAATTATATAAAAATATATATATATAAAGTAAAAAAAAAAAAAACAGATTAAAAATATTTCAATCAAAATAAATCAAACATAAATTCGACGAAAATGTTTTCAAGACCGAAAAGTAAGTACAAATGCATTTTTTATATAGATGTATATTGTGAATACAAATGAATATATGAAAAGTTTCTTTGTGACTGAAATTGAATTGAAATATGCTTATTTAAAATATAAACAATATAATTTCAACTAAAAACATTATCAAGTTAAGGGAATTAATTAATTTTTCCATTCTTCTTGTGGAAAAGAATTTGTGTTAATTGATTTAATTATTTTTATAATTATGAATTTTGTGCGATATATATATTTTATATTGTTTACAAGTATTTCGTGCCCTCACTGATCTGTTATACAGATTTCTACGCTCCTGATTTAATACTCATTCTCGACCGTGAAATAAGTATATTGGTTTTGTGCAATGTCTCTCGGGCAAAACTATTGAAAATGTGCTCGCGTATGTCTTTGAATTATAAAGTGTCAAGATTTTTTAAACTTGAAAATGTACTACATGGTGCAAGAGAGAGGCTAAAAAAGTTGTTGTTGGATTGTATCACTAAGATAATATGTTTTTGCTTGTTTCTTGCTCCTACTTTCAAAGTGCATTCTGGTCTTAAGCTTGAAACGAATTTTTAGCTTTACAATTTTAAATTTTTCAGTAAAATCAATGCAATCTATACATCTCCTGTGAAGGTTAACAAAGATCTGGACTCTACTCCTAGGCTTAGGCTTCAGAAGGTCAAATTTTATTTCGACTTTATTGTCGTAGGAATTTTTATGTTTACGTCTGGCGAATATAAATATTTTTATTATAATTTTAGAGATAATATTTTTATGATTATATATTATGTATAATATACATAAAAGTCACGTTGCTTTCTCGTAAAAACCTTATCAGGAACATGTGTTTTATATAATAGAAATAATACACTTAATAAAACAATTTGCAATTGTTTTACATTTATTAAATACAGAACCTAGCTAACAAAAAATGATATATATTATATGTATATATATATGTATTACGAATCCAATTATCTTTTGCGACATTATTTATTTTAGTTTTTCTTTTTTCAAAATCATTTTTTTAATGTTATTAATTTCCAATTATAGTTATTAAAAACCCATTAATAAAAATCTATCAGTGCATTGATCTCAAAGCAGTCTAACAATCTCAATTTCTGCGCGCCCATGCAGTTGTGTAACACGTATCAGTGCTGACCCAAGTTAACCCGAAAAAATGCAGTGATATATATGTATATTTTTAAATATATTTTCATTATATTTAAATACATTGAAACGAGGCGTATGCATCAATCAAAGCTGTCAAACAGAATTCGCATAAATAAATCGCAACACTCAATGTAAATACGGCGTCTACCCGATCGCTCTTCACAAATCAATAATGTTTAATTATGTACTTAACAATAATTTTGTTGTTTATTTGTAATGGGCAAACGAGACGCGGAAGGTGCCATAAATTACCTTATTGAGTTAAAAATTTCACAGATATAAATCAAGATTTAAGTCGATGGGAAAATACGAAAGAAAAACAAACAAGTAAGACCGTTGCATACGGACCTTACCTACTGCAGAATACTCATTCAAGGCCCAAACTTTGATCCATTTTACCAATTGCCACGCCTCCGATTGGTACTTGCATATTATTTTGATGCAAATCAATTGCAGGAATTTCCACTTTGTAGCACTTCAACTAGCATTGCTCTCTGAGATACCGGAAAATGGATTTTCTGATTTGACACGCCCCTAGAGGGCGAATCGGGAGCTACAACTAGTAGAGTATTTTTCATTTCTCTCACTTGAATAGCAACGAAATAGTTTGTATTCAAATGGACAGCTGGACGGACAGACAAACCAATATACCCATTTATCTTCTGTGAATGAATATAGAATCATACAATTTCGCTTACAATAGCAATTAACAAGGTGTTAACTACAGTCAATTGGATTTTTATGTGTATTTGCTCATAAAACGAAAATTTTTACTTGGCAACAAATTATATTTTAGATAATCTCATGTTTCTGGAGCTTAGGATTTTTTCAAATAAAATCCATTAGACAGCGAAACTATAAATAACGAGCTTATCTAACAATTCTTCACAGCTATAAAGAGAACTTTAGAACGAGTAATTATTTATAATTATTTTAAGACCCGTGATGTGCTTAAAAATACAATTTTTTAAACTTATATATTATATGTGGAACTTAATATCACCATAAAAATTACTATAATACGGTGATTTTGTTTTACAAAATTTATATTTGTATTTAAAATTAATTAATTAAATTAATCTTAAACCAAACAAATTCAGCTGATCTCAAAGAGTTTGTTGACTTCGAACATTTACTTTCTCGTTTTACATGATATGTGTATGTGATTAAATAATATTATGGAAACATATAGTTTTTCGGTTGTCATTCTCCATGGCTTCATGCTAATTTAATGGCTTACTTAATTCGTGTAACTAAGTTGTTAAAATGTTAATGGGCCGGCTTCAGCGTTCAGCCCATATAATTAGATCAGATTTCTGGACTTAGTTTATGTTTATATTCAGTTTGTCGTGTTCATTTTTATGACTTCGCACGCCCTTAACTCAGCTAAATGTCTTCATTATGTCAAACAAATATTTGTTGTATTTTTGCACTTATATTTTACTACAGTTAATTATATATATATATGATTGGTTATGCGATTTTAATTGCTTGTAAATTGCATGTTGAGCATTAAATAAAATTTTGATTGTTGTCGTAATTGAATAAGCGAATATTGGGAAAGAGCGAGCAAGAGATAGACAAGGGGAAGAAGAGAGTGAGAGAGAGAGAGACAGAGAGAGAGAGAGAGAGGAGGTAAGCTTTTGTACTTGAGGCTGAACTTGAACTTGGGCGTGCATAAAACCAGATAGATTTATAAGCTATAATAATACCAACACTGTCTATGGAGCAAGTGTATGTATGGAAAACATTTATTTTGTTCATGAGAAATTCGATGACGGTGGAAACGGCGACGTTGACGATGATGTTGATAAAAGTGTTACAAGGTTTCGGGGCTCGTCTGGCATAAACATAGACACATATAAGCATATGTGTGCATATGTATATGTATGTATGTATAGTGGTGTATATAACACTTTCAGCTATGCTTTACATACACATCATGATTTATGTATGTAACTCAATTTATTTAGTCTTTGTTTTGGTTGCTGGCGCTCATCAAAGTTTCGTTTTTTTGTTTTTTTTTGCGACGCAGCTAAATTAATTAAAAAAAAACAAAAACAAAAAACTATACATATATGTATGTATATAAAACCATTAGCGCCCGTTTCCCGAGTCCAGCTCATTTTGTGCCAATTCATGATTAGCTGCCGAAATTTTCGTTCAAAGCTTGTTTCTGTGTGGGGCTTTCGCAAAAATGTGCTTCAGAAATGCGTGTTTTTTTTTTTTATTGAAATTTTAAATTTTGCCAAAGGAATCTCAGAGGCTGTTCAAAGATTATATGTATATACATATTCATAACTCCAATATATTTTTGTAACAAATTACAGTACACACACGTGGCGCTGTTTAACCTCAGTGGAATTCATTAACAAATTTAAAATAAATGTTACTCAGTGAAATTAAACAATATTTCAATTGCTTAACACATGAATTAAAAAAAAAAATACTGTGTTCCTAACTGTTTGAGTTGTCAGATTAATTGCGTTGATTTTATAGTCCTTGCATTATCTGAAAAAAAAGAAAAAATTAATTTAAGTAGTAATAGTAATTTAGCCAGATCTCATCAGATAATACCCAAGTGAAGTGTATTTTATTATTAATTTATTTATTTTGTTTTCATTTTATTTTTTATTATATATTACTTGAACAAAATTATTGAATATCATATTAAATAACATTTTTTATTTGTTTTTATTTTATTTTTTTACTATATATTACTTGAAACAAATTTTTGAATGTCATATTTAATAAAATTTGCTGAGTACTTGCTGCATTTAATAATAAACATACTATTTATTCCATTCAAATAACAATTTATTTGGAAAGGCTGTATCTTTTAATATTTAAAAAAATCAAACCTTGTTGTCTTAATATTTATGCCATGTCCTGAACATACTAATTAAAACTTACTATGAGATTCCCATTTTTTATATAAAACGCCACAATTTTGTACTAAGCTTTGTTCAAACCCAAACTTACATGAATTTGATTTCATCAACAACAAACTTATCGAGTAGAGTATTTACATTTAGCTTTATCTATTCATATTGTTTCTTAATTCCTTCGCTCTTCAAGGTACAGCTACTCTTGCTGTCTTCATTTTCTTTTGTTCATTGCATTGCTTGGAACTGAATCAGATTTCTTTAAAATATATATTTTGTATTTGTAAGTTACTGCTCAAAGATCATTAATCTCTCATATGCTGACTGCACTTATTTCATGAGGTTTTCTTTTAAGTTTACAAATGAGCTTAAATTAAGTGATCATTAATCATCTGTTGCACAAAACTTTCAGTTTTCATAAAAGATAAGTGGCTAAAGTTTTTAATGGCTTCGTCTAAATTTGTTGATGTTCATATAAAGATATACAATATACATCTATTCAGTGTGTATTACGAAACACATATGTCATATATGTTTATATAGGTTACTCTTTGAATGATTTCCTAATATTTATTAAATTGCTAATCCAATAAGTCAAAATTCTTTGCACGAGCCACTTATAAAAGGCAAATCAACCACAAATTACAAATGCAAAAACCACTTTTGGAACTGTAGACAGAAATCGCTGACTCAACAGAGTCGAATGGCTCATGACGCCGACGATGAGACCTGCCCGGTCAGAGTCCGATCTGATGGGACAAAAGACAAAAAAAAAAAACAAAACAAGTCAAAAAAAATCAATAAAAAATAATAAATTTATATAAAAAAAAAAAAATATAAATAAAG